TAGCGGAAAGGATGCTGTAGTTAAGTGCCAAAAAACAGACAGAAGAAATCAGAATAAAGAATTGGATAACAGTGTGGATGCTGACTCGGCAGCAAATGCCATTTACAAAAAATGGCACTTAAGTAAACCTTGATCCAAATTGCCACACTGTTCACCTTAAAACTCTGATTGGCCAGATACATTTATCATTTCATACCACCTGTGAAGATAACTGAATGAAATAAAGGAGACATGAGCAGCCTTAAATAGATGGCCAGCTCATTTAGAGACACAGCCAGACACAAGTGCTCCTAAACGACCATGAAGTTTATGTGTTCGCTCTATACACGTGCATTGGAATGAAAGGGGTGCTTTCTCTCTGCACTCGTCTTGTATGCCCTGTAACGACAGGCTGTAATCACCAAGGACATAATTAGAAAGGACTCAGTGGGAGGCAGAGAAGTAGTCCTGGGACTCGCCCAGTCAAGTACAGAAATATCCATTTCCCTAAAACATGGGACTGGTGTACCAATGACAACATCTTTGCTGTTAGTTTTACAATAGAGAGTTCAGGTTGAGTTGTGCCTGTCAGTTTAATGAGTCAAACTTAGAATTAGTGAGCACATGTTCTGGTGAATTATCTTTTCATTCAAAATAAACACCATTTCTAGAGGCATCCATATTAAAGGCTGTGTACTATAAAGTATCATCATGCACAGTGTTACAGCTACATGGCTGCTCCCTAAGTGTTAGAGGATGAAGGGTGAGAATGGGAGATTGAGGAGGAGGGAGGAGAAGCTGAAAATTCAGGGCTGGACATCAGTTTGCAGTAAGGAGACTAGAGCCGAGTAAAAAAAAGCCACTCAGTATAACATAGCAGGGAGGGCGAATGCTTGAAAAGTCTTGGTCGCGCTTACTTTTCTCCTGTTGCTTGGTCTCCCCTTTTGTTTCCTCTCATCGTGCTGTGCTGCAGATAAACTGACGATAACCCTGTCTGTAAGTATATTTTTACATTTGTTATGAATTTAAACTGGATGTTATCAAGAAGTATAGCCAACAATTTCATTTTTTTTTCCAGGCCAGTCTCTGTGTCTAAACTGACAATATATTGAAATGAAGTTTCAAATTTTATGATTCATTTGATTCATGCTAATACATTTGCTACAAGTTTAAGACATTTGAATATTTCCACTTTTTCCATTTTATACTTCTACTCCACTGCATCTTTGCTGGAAATATTATACTTTTACTTTATGCAAATTATTTAACAGCTACAGTTCATTTGCAGATGAACATTTTACATGCAAAACATATGACCAGTTTCCCAAATCTGATGCAGTAGTACCCAACACTATACTGTATAAAGCAGATTGAATTAACTTTGCCTCCACAACTGCAATAATAATCAAATAATACAACGTATTAATATAAACACTCACAGACAGTTTTTCAACAGCCAAGCGCTGCTACTTGGCAAAAACAGCTGTGCAGTCAATTAAGTAGGGTTTTGAATGCCGAACATTTACTAATAATGGAACAATTTACATTTTATTGCTACTCTGACTTAAGAGCTCTCCCAAGCTTCCTCCTAACATCAGATGTCTTCCTTAATCTAAATAATCAACTATGAAATTTAATGGTATCCTGCACTAATCTGTTTTTTAAACTCTCTGTAGTTTACACTCTAGTAACTCTGTAGTTTACACTGTTGAATGTGACAAAGTTTTATCCAAGAAAATGTTTTGAGATGGTCTAACCTCTGTCAGTGGTTGCATTTCTACAAATTTCTGTCATCTCGGTTAAAATGTGCTTACTTTTATTTTAAATTCATTGACGAGATTCCACCTTTTCACAGACTATACTGTGTGTTAGGTTGAATTTGCATATACAATACTGTTATACAATGTGGTAGAATCATTGTGTAAAGTTAAAGTGGCTCAGGTGAAAATGTAGAGGAAAATCTAAATCTCAAGAGACTGACAGGTTGTGTCTAGATGGCCTTCATTTGAAGGAAATGTCAACGCTCTGGTAAAATGCAGGAAATGTAATTTTGGCTGTAATTATGGGGATTCAAGAGGCAGTGCTGCCCTGTATTTCTACAACCAAGGATGGAGACCCAGCCTCCCATCTGGTCCAGCAGCATACACGGGGGGGGGCTTCACACTGTGCAAAATCAGAGCAGCAGCAGCTTCACTGTGGCATTTTGCTGATTAGAAGCCTGTCTTCACAGTGTAGCACTGTATAATTACACACTGTGTTAAGAGTCAGTGAGGTTTTAAAAGGTAACAGACCAAGCTCTGCACAAATAGTCGCTCTTTTCTTTGTTAAAACTTCACTTCGCATTGAGATGAATAATGGAAAGAAGGTCATGTTGTGTCATAAATGTTTATCTTGTGGATGCAGAAATATTTTTATCAGGTCTGTGCTGCTGTGGGCTTGGTGTAAAGCAGCTGCTGCCCAGTATAAATATAGAGGACACAGCCACAGGTCTCCCACGCCTCTGTGTTCCTTGTGGAATCTAGTTTCCTCCTGGCTTTGGTGTGGTGGATGGGTGGCCTCCCTCTACTTTACAAATTATAAGGCTTTCAGCACCAAACTCGCTGTCTCCACCCTAAATAAGTAATGGCTACTCTGCTGCCTGCTAAAATAGATATGGGGCCAGGCAGGGATCAACAGAAAGCCTAGAAAAACCTGAGTCTAGATGAATGCTGCTGTTACATTGTAGAGGGAAACAGCTCTTAAAAACATTGTTTTGTCAGTATGTTTCTATTGCATGAAAAACAGCTTGAAACTAGTTCGTATAGTGGTTCATCAACAGGTAGAAGAATAAATCCGTGGGGTCGCGAATGATTAAAAAGATAGGAAGTAAGTTAAAAAAAACACATCGGCAGCACAAAGTTATGTTTATTCTTTATGGTTTTTCTTTAATCTTTTCTTATTACTGGAGAGTTTTACCTCTAAAAACAAATCAGTTTAAATAAGCAGCACCTCTCTTTAGTTGAACTGCTCAAAACTTACATACAACATGTGATATTGCAGGAATAGTTTGAACTTTGGGACATATGGTTATTTGCTTTCTTGCCAAGGGTTAGATGAGAATATTGAGAGTGGTATCAGTCAAGCTGGAGTCTTGTCAGTGCTGTGAGGTTGTTGCCAAGAAATAATTGCAACACATTTCAGTTTTACTTTTCTGCTCTCGTACCAATTAAACAAACAGTATACAACATGTTAATTAGTGAACTTTAGATGTGCTTGTAGACAGATTTTATTACCTTTGGACAGAACTGGGCTAACGGTGTAGTCTTTATCTAAGCTAAGCTAATTACCTCCCAACTCTAGTTTTATAATTCATACACAGCCTTTTGTTGTTGTTGTTGTTGCAGGGCTCAGCCGAAAAGATGAAGTCCTTCCTGGCTTTTCACATTTCCTGTGTGATCCTGCTCTCACTGTGGTGCAGTGTGTGTCACTGCACTCCTCTGTTCTACAACATTTCCATGGACGGCAGTGGTGATGAAGCAGAGCTTGAACTTTTCCCCACCTCCTTCTCCACCCGAGTGCCTTTTCAGATTAACACTGCTACTGGAGCTCCCAACACCATCACCACCACCATGGTTCGCCTGAAAGACCTCGTCCTGAGCCGAGTAGTGGACTTCCTACAGGAGAATTTGCTCATCATCATCGTTGTGGCCTCTCTTCTCATTGTCATGGTCTTCATCATCTGCTGCGCCTCTGCCATGAGTCATAAGCGCAAGCTAGAGGCCTACAAGCCCCTGCCTCATCCACCCAAAAAGTATGTTGAAAAAAAACCCGGTGGACGCAAGAATTCAGATGAGCTCCAGGAGAGGCCATTCACCGTAGACCATGTCAAGAGAGTCCAGACTCAGAGCACGGCCTCCCCCAAAAATCTACGTATGCCCTCCAAGGCTCTGGTGGGAGAGAAAGGGAGAGACGTTGGGTCATCACCTCGCCAGGAAGTCAGAAAGGTCAGGGAGGCAGAGAAGGTGGAAAAGCTTAGAGAGGAGCCCAAGCACAAAGAGCAGCTGAAGCACAAGGAGGAGGTGCAGCAGAGCCACAGTCCCAGCGCCAGCTCCAGTCAGCCGGCCTGCACCTGCCATCTGAAAAAGACCCACCACTAGGGCACGTTGATGGTAAGAGAGGTGAAATGTTTCAACCATGACATAAAATATAAGACAGGCTGATTAATTAAGTGGTCTTATACTTGTATAGCACTTTGATTATGCTGCAATGCATAGAAAAGTGCTTTCACACTATTTGGCTGTTAACCCATTCACACTCACACATTCACATGCCAGTGACATCATCGGGAGCAACTAGGGGTTCAGTATCCTGCTCAAGGACACTTCAACACGTGGACTGGAGAAGCTAGGAATCGAACCACCAACCCTCCGGTTAGGAGACAACCCGCTCTCGAGCCACACACACACATGGGAAAATTATGTCAACATGTTTTAATTAGGGAAAAATATTTTTAAGTGAGACTTGTGCTTTACATGAGATATCATCTTTGGAACACTAAAATCTACAAGTTTATTTACAGTATTAAAAGAAAACAGCTAACCAGAACATACAAATGGTTGACAAATTAAAGGAAAAGGTGCTGGGTGTTAGGCCACCATGTGGTGCCTGAACAGCTTCAGTACACCTTGACACTGACTCTACTGGAGGGATGAACACTGTTCTTCCAAAAGATATTCCCTCATGTGATGTTTTGATGATGGGGGTGGAGACGCTGTGTAACACGTTGGTCCAAAATCTCGTGTAGGTGCTCACCTGGGTTGAGAGCAGGTGACCTTGAAGGCCATAGCAGATGGTTCACATCATCTTCACACTCAAACCATTTAGTGACCCTTCATGCCCTATGGATGGGGATGCTGTCATCCTGAAAGAGACCACTCCCATCAGGATAGAAATGATTCATCACAGGATAATAGTGATCACTCAGAATAGCTTTGTATCAATTTTCAATGACTCTTCCCTCTAAGGGGACAAGAGGATCCAAACCACACAGCAAAATGGCCCCAGAGCCACAGGATCCCCCCTCATGCATTCAGGTCTTTCCTTTAATTTGTCACCCGTATGTATGTGATCAGAAAGCAAACACTCAATGTGTTACTGCACATTTACAAATGTTGTTCACATCACCAAGTAGATTTCTACATTTTTTATTATAAAAATTAAATGGCTGATTTCTTGCAGTGGGTGGTCACTTGGTTTTATCAGTGACTGCAGTACCACTAATTCTCAACATTTTCAATAGATGTTTGTTTATAATACAGAGATTTAGTCCACATGCCTGCCAAGAGAGAGGGAGGTCCTCTGAATTTTCTTTTGTATTCCACATCATCTTCATCCTCATCATCATCACTTGTTTAACAGCTAGGAGCCTTGGCTGAATCAGTTCGTCATTAAGAGCAAAGTCTTTGGTGCTGTAAATAAAACAAAGTGAGATGCCATTAACCTTGAGTTGTTGGACTTGATAATAGAACATTCCCTTTATATTTACATTTATATTTACTTTATTTTGTTTGCATCATTTTATTTCATGTCATATCATATTGTATTTTACTTTAAAACCTATTCCGCAGTGATTTATGCCAAAAGAACAATTATATATTGGCTAAGATAAAAAGCATGTTTTTGGTATAAAAAAATCTGTGAAAAGGGGTTTGAGTTTTTTTTAATAAGTAGCATTTATGTGGAAGATAAATTATAGTTTCTTATTTTGAATCTACTGATTTGTACTGAATCAAAAACTTGACAACAGGGATAGTTAGTTGCCCTGTTTTGCTGATATAATGGATTTAACTTTGAGTCACTGTGGTAAAAAAAAGTGCTTAAAAATCAAAAGCTGAGAAATGAACATTTGCTGTATTTATATGATTATATTTGGTTCAAAACTCAGATTACACTGAAGGTCATTGATAAAAACCCTCCAGCTCATTGTCCCAATGCTTAATGATTCAGACAATTTGTACGTGACATAGGTTGTGTTTTGTACAATATATGGCCCAGGATGTTGTCATGTTTAAATATTCTTTTCCACTGAACCTCAGATGTTTCTGGACAGATGCTTCCTCTGTAAGTGAGGGTTTCATTGTTTACAAAATGACAACTTTGCATTATATATGTTTAATAAAATAGTGGATAATTATGTTTCTGTCATTACTGAAAACAATGGAACAGTAATGCTGGAAGCAGTGTTATGCTGAAACACAGAAACAGCCCTGGAAGAACCTAAAGCTAAAAAAAGTGAGGAAGGGCTAAATAAATATATAATTATTTTGAGCTGCATCCACATAAGAATCATGGGTAACTTTTTTTTTTTTTAAAGTTAACTACCAAAATGCCAGATTTGTGAGATCTGCCTTGTGGAGATGTATACTGTATTGTAATTTAACTTTTTGAGCTCAAGATATGCACACACAACACAGAAACACAACTTTGTCTGGTTTTCTTATTGGCCATGGTGAAGCAGTTCATAACCAGACACAAGAGCTGCACAAGGTATAAGAGTCGAGAGGTGACGAGAGCCCCTGTTGTCCTTCACTGGCAACCGTACAAGATTGTTTAAATATTTCAACAACTGTAAACCAGATACATACCGTGGCCTTTGCTCCAAAGCATGAGCTCATGTATTGTTTATACAAATCTTGGAGACACTGATTTGTACCAGGGAGGTTCAAACAAAAAGTCAAACAACCTTTGGGTTCCATATTTGAAATGAGCAGTGAACTACTGCCCTCATGAACAATGCAAGTACTTATGTACAGTATGTGTCATATCTACCACTTCCATCTTGATATGGGTATTTTCTGTCCATACCTAAAATCTATCATCACAAATAAGCACAAATGTGTTAAAATGTAAGTTAATATTGCTAAAATTGCTGAAATGCAGACCATTTTTGAAAAACAAAGGGTCTGAGTCATTAGTGAGTCAACCTACCGAAGATAAAACGCCACAGATGGCAGCACAGCAAAAGTAAGTGTAACCCTCTGGTAGCTGAAACGTGAGCCCTGGCGCAGCCTTCCACTAAGGTCAGATTCCCCATGCTTTTGTCAGTGAGGTGCTAAATAATTTGAGAAAACACTACCCTTTCACTTTTGCTCTTCCCACCAGGTGACAGGCAGACACACTGCCACAGGACCATCCAGCAGTGCTCTCTCAAAATTCACTGTCTGAGTTTTAGGAACTCACACTGACATTTGGTGTCCTTGCGTAATGAAATATCTGGGATGTGTTGTTGTTTCTTTCTTTCTTTTTTTAAACACTATCTCTTGCTGAACTTCTTCCTCTGTGTATTTTAACTCTCGTCACTGTCTGACACTGACAAACTGTGGGAGCTGTCAATCAATTTGAATGGAGAAGAGGATCCAGAATAGGTAACACAGCACCTTAGGGCTGTTGTTAAACTTTGATGAGCTTTTGCAAAGAATTCTCAACAGCAGTAGTGGTAATCTTTAGCCAGAGAGACAGTGGATCATTTCAGGGCCATGAGGAAACACCTGCCAGTCTCTTCAGGGGACCAGATAATATTGGAATAGAAGAATGGTAAGTACTCTCACCTCTTATGTTTGGTACCACTTGCTGATAAATCAGCCTTTATAGAGAGATTATATGTATTTATATATGACAAATAAAGGTCAAAGTGATCAGAATAACTGGTGGATTACCAGGTTGTTTAAAAATCTTTCTAGCTATGTTACAAATAGTCAACTCATTGTAAATTTCTTACTAAATGGCAACAAACCATCTGTTCTGTAGCTACAAATGTTTCTCATTATTTAGGGGTCAAAGGTTTCTCGTGCCTAATAAGCCAACAGCAAATGGTAAAAAGTCATTTAAAAAATAAATATAATGTTAAATATTAAATAGAAATGCCAATAAGTCAATAAATATTACATCAAATTAGTAGTTTTTAATACATGAAGTTTGGTCCTGATGCCCTGCAACTCTCATCCAGTCAGATTAGTCTACTGGATGAATTTTAAGGCAAGAAAAGTGTTGGAGTGCTGGAGGAAGACAAACACTGTTAAGAGATTTTTCACAACCTCTTTTAAATGTCTTACATCTTTAAATCTATAAAGGATTAGGAAATTATTATATGACCATGAATAAAGCCATTATTTATAACTTAGGAACCGTACAGGACCTGATTTTAAAGTTGCACCCTTTTTTAAAACTATGCAAACATAAGTAAGTGAGGCATCAGGATTATTTTCTGATACCACACATTTTCTCCTCTATTATTCCTTGCAGTGAGTCATGCTTTGGTGCAGATGTGGTGTCCTACTGGTTCTCTTCATCTGTCCTCTAGACTGCCTCACAGTGTCTCCCTGTCCTCCTGGCTGCTGCTGTGCTCACCCAGAACTTTTGGTTTTGTGTGAGTCCCTGGGTCTCAGGTCACTTCCTCGCTCTGTCCCTCTCAACACCTCAGCTCTGTCTGTGGCCAGAAACCAGCTGTGTAATGTGGACCACCTGCTCCAGCCCTTCTCCAGCCTCCAGGAGCTCAGCCTCAGTCATAACCTGTTGGCCCGCTTCCCCCGTGGCCTTCCTTCCAGCCTGGAGTCCCTGCTGCTGCAAGAGAATCGTCTCACTTATATCACCTCAGGTGCCCTGAGGCAGCTGGGTAATCTCACTCACCTGGATCTGGAGGACAACTACATCCGTGCCATCCAACCCGGAGCACTTCAGGGTCTTACCAAGCTGCAGGTCCTGACACTGAAGGGGAACAAGCTTACAAGTCTCCCTCTGAATCTCCCTCCATCACTCACCCATTTGGACCTCTCAGCTAACTGCATCTCTGTCCTGGACCTGCCCTCACTGTCCCCACTGGTCAACCTGCAGGTCCTTAAGATCAACAGCAACTGCCTGCGCTCAGTCCCAGAAAGCGCCTTTGACAGCCTGCCACGTCTCAGATCTGTGGACCTCACCAACAACCTATGGGTGTGTGAGTGTGACATTTTGTATCTTTACCGCTGGCTGCTCAGCAGTAGGTTAAAGATGGCCACAGACCTGGTGTGCACTGAGCCTGTCCATCTCGCTCACCATCTGCTTCTGAACCTTTCTGTCTTGACTATCTGCCCTCACATCCTGAAGCCAAATGAGAGGATACACCAACTGGACCTCAACTCTGCTTTGAAGCAGAAGCTGGAGACACTGACAGCAAAGCCAATAGCATATAGCTCATCTGAAAACACCAGGGATGTGGGCAGTTTGTCTGAGCAAATATCAATGGAAAGCACTGGTGGGCTCCTTTCCAAAGATTCTCGTGTATTACTTGAACACTACACTTTAGAGACCCTCACCTATGAAGAGTGTTTGTCACTAAATAAAACACAATCCGTGAGCCCACCCCATTTAAAAACAACCACTTTCATTTCAGATGGGGAACAGAAATGCCGAGACAACATCACAAGTCACTACCCTCAGAGCAACACAATGTCTGCTGGAAGGACACAGTCTTTACTTTCCACAAACAGAGATGCAGCCATGCCCACTCCTGACCCACAACTGTTTACACAACAAGACTCTGCAGTGATCATACGTTTGCTAGCTGTGTTGTGTGTATTAGTAGCTCTGTTAATGCTGGCTGTGCTACTTGTACTGAAGAAGGTGGTTGTGCGCCAACAGAGGGTGGCTCCGCTTGATGTAGGATCTGGTGAATAACAACAGAGACACACTGAAAATGTTTTTAATCATTTAATTCACAGTATCATACAATATTTTATATTGTGCTTTTGTATGCCGGCCTAAATGCATTTTCATACTGAATCCTCTGCAAGAGATTAGTGATTTTATACAAACAAGCCAAAATAAAGCCTGAATGCCAAAAAATATACAAAAACAAGCTTCTGATTTATGATGCATCTTACTTGTGTTCTGTATAGAAAAGCACTGCAAAGTGGAATAGTGTTGAGCTCCCTTGTTTAATATTAAGGATCGGAGTCACCTTGAACTACCAACTCCAAAATCAGCATCAATCAAACTTTTCTGATCATCTGTTGAAAAACACACAAAAGCCTTAACACCTGCCACTTGAACAATAAGGGAATCTTGTACATTTTTAAAGAGTATAAAACTCCCAGAAGTCCCAGAACTGCACAAGACCTGGTGTAGTATGATGGCCAACTCATCTTCCACACAGCACTGCACTGCACTGCTGTTAGACATCAACTGGTGCTGATAACAATGAGATACTCCATGGTGGATAGTTATAGCAACATAAAACAACATATTAGTTGGTGGCTTTGACACGTTCCTCCTTCTTGTCTTCTTGTTTCAGTCTGTAGTCTGACAGGGCAGCTTTTATGGCATCTTCTGCGAGCACTGAAGGAGCGGGAGTGAGAATGTTTCAGAGACAGTATAATAATGATTTCAGTAGAATACAGACAGACATTTAGGTGGGTGAGAGATATGAATAGAACAATGATTATATCTATTAAGATATAGTAATACATTTTCGGCAAAAGCAATTATGAAGTTGTCGATGTTCTGTTTTTTAGCTAATCCAATGAATTAGATATCTAATGAAAGTATTCAATTGCATTGCTGCACAGACTGCATAAAAATCCAGTCTTGCTATGAAACAGCCATACTGATTTTCTGCGACAGTCTATTATACCCAGAGAATAGTATTACACTATGGTGTTAACAGAGGAATGCCAGTGGGTGACAAGTTATGGGAGAAGCTTGAGTGAAAATATTGAAAAAATATGCTGTTAGTGAATATTTTGATGATTATCAAAACTAAAGACCTATGTGAGATTCTGAAAAGAAGTGTCAGGCACCACACACTCTCTACCACAGGGCTGCCCAATACGTCGATTGTGATCGACCCGTCGATCGCAAAGGTAGTGTCGGTAGATCTCATGTCAATATAATGAGCTTAGTTAATGCTTTCAAACGAAAAATGCAACATTTTGCAAAACTTCCAAAACTTCGCATCAGAGCTGGAGACGCAACGGAAAGCATGTGCGCAACTTGACATTGCACGCTACACAAAGCAGATTGACAATTGTCGGTCCGAGTTTGACAAACGCTTTCAAGACTTTGGCTCACTCGAGCCAGTCTATACATGTATGCGTTACCAAATTAGGTAAGATATTGAGGTTGATTCACTCGCATCAAAAATTGCAATGCTGTTTCACCTGAACTCGTCTGGAGTGGAGGATGAGATATTGACACTACAGGTGACATTCATCTGAAGTCCAGGGCTAATGGACCGTTTTGGAACTTACAGAGGAAAAGTACCCAAACATGAGGAAATGTGCCATTGACTGCATTATTTAGCTCTACTTATTTATGTGAGCCAGCATTTTCTCACACTGAGATTATTAAGTCCAAATACCGCTCCA